CGAGGTCGGTCCCATAGACCGAGCCCAGTTTGAAAGAGTTAATGTACAGATAGTTTGACTCAAAGTGATATTTAACATTTGAATTTTTGTTTTGTTGGTGAATTTCCGTTTAATTTGTTTGTAATGGAGAAAAAGGATGTGACATGAAACAGATACATTAAAAAAATCTGAATGAATATATTCCTAATTAAGGAGTATTTTAACAGTAATGTACAAAATGTTCAAACTTCACCAGTTTTACTGTTTTATCCCAGGAAGCTGTAAGGAGAAGTTGTTCATCTCGTGTCTGACTCCAGTCAACACTGTAAACCTGGGGGATAAAAATGTAGTTAACATATAGTTCCATCGCAGTCTGAAACCACATGAACATTTTTTTAATATTTTATGTTCAACATCTGTTAAGAAAAAAATAACATTCTTATATAAAATCAATTTACACTTACACTAGTGCCCCCCAGTGGCACAGCGGTATGCCTGCAGACTTACAACGCTAGAAACCGAGTTTTGATATTCGTGGTGGGCAGAGCACAGATAGCCCTTTGTGTAGTTTTGTGCTTAACTATGAACAAACTATACAAATTACACTTGTACAACTAAAACTTACTTTGGTGTTTTGAAACAATTATTGGAAATGTGCTATTACTACAAATCTATTTAAAGCAACACATTAGATATCATTTCGCAGTGCTAACAAACACCCAACAGATTTTTTCAAACCTACAATAGGTATGGTAAGGAGTAGGCTTTAGTTCCAAGCAAGATGGGCAAGTAATTTCACTCCTGATAAATTACTTGCACGTGGGAATTACACACTCTTCCAAAAAGATTTCTGACAAATAAGACACTTATGTCACATGGCTTATTTTGCATTGCTTTTAGTTTCATGTTACAACACTTGCATTTTACATTATCATGGCCTAAGCACCTTACAAGAGACATTCAAGTTAGGAAAAGACATAACAGGGTCTTGGTACGCTACAAGGTCGAGTGTCTCTGCAATATTTTGTCATTGTCTTAGGCACGTTTACATACTTGAGGTGACACAGAATTGATGTAATTGTCAAGAGATAGCATGTAGGTGGTTGAAAAGTGACAAATCCAGGACAAAACTACTTCCTGATCATATATGCTTGCAAAGTCATTTATGATAACACAACCTCTGTTGTGATCTACAAAATGCATCTGGAGTTTAAAAAACAAATATTGACCAAATCTGTTCATAGAAGAGTCAAAGAGGCTGGTGTCAAAGAAATATCTCTAGAATATTTTTGAACCATCATCACAGCAAAACACTTGAGACTGCAATCAAGATCACTTACATTGAGATAACAAAATTAGATAACTGATCTTCATGGACAAGTTGTCTTGCCTTGACGTACTAATCAAGAAAGTCTAGAAACACCATCACAATACTAACATGACCCATTTGGGTTGTGGTTCTATCACAATCTAAGGTGACTGACCTCCAAGTTTCCCACAATTGTTCTTTCATAGCTTTGCAGTACAAGGATGAAGTCCTATATGCTTAATGAGGTTGTACAAAGGCACCATTGGTAGAGCTTTGTCCTAACCTAACCTTTGTCCTCTTCTAAGGCTCCACCACAATCAAGTATAACTATCATTTATACATGGATCTAATGAATTATAAATCATGACAAACTGGTAGAGATTTTGTTAAATCCCAAGTTCGTTGTAAAAAGTTACTTATTTTGCTGATGTTTCATTTCTATTGTAGGTGTAAACTTCACTAGAAACTTGGATGTTCAGCACAAACAAGTATTTGAACAACAGCAGTAACAAATAAAGTAAACAATATTTACAAAACGTTTTAATAAAGGGAACAATAGATGAGCTTCTTAACTCCATAATCACCATCTTCAAGACCTATGATAACAGCAGCTTTTGTTCTCAATGATGTTGAAGGTTCTTTTTCACTTCATTTTCCTTGATAACTTTCTTTAGATGGATACCTGTCACTTATTGCACTTGAAACACCTTTCACATTGCTGTTGCAAGTAATAGAAGGAATATTATCTTCTGACATTTCCATAGTGTTCTACACTTTGAAACAGAAAATAACATTGGAGGTGGTGGGGAAACAAGAGACTTTTTGCCAGAAAATGGAAAATATTGATCAAAGAAAGGATAAAGAATATTGAATAACCCCCAACAAAAGGTTACTGACATCTTTACAGAATAGAAACCCTAATCCATAACTACCATTCTAGCACATTTTTAGTAAGCTAATAGTTTTTCAGCTCTAACATTCTGCAGATGTATCATCAATCTGGATCTAGTTAAATTACAGATTCAGGGTTAATTTTATAATAAATATTTTAGTTTTCATTACATTAATGGAAATTCACAAACAAAACGAATTTGTCATGTATCACTAGATGCAATACAAATTAAACTTTAAAATTTTTTTTATGAACAATCAAGCTAAATCTTACTTTAATTAATTAACTATCATTTTAAACTATAGTGAGTCTGGAAAATCTAGCATTTCATCAATAGTTTAATTTTTGATACAGTTTTAAAGCCTCATTATTATCCAACAGATATTTACTCTACTATGTACTGTAGAAATTTGGTTATGTAGAGTTTGAAGTTACCAACTCAGTTTAAATAGCAAGTTATTCAAACTGGTAGATAAGTTCATAGTTTTTTAATTTAAAATTATTTTACAAGGACTAAGAATGAATATATACAAATGATGTTTATAGTAACCATTCAGTGACTTTTTATATATTTTTTGCATCTCTTAAATCTTACCTCTTTCTCATGATCTTTCAAAACTGCCACAGGATGCTGTAAACAAATAAAAATACTTAAGCAATCCAGATAGTATACTGTTAGATTTAGATTTCACTATTAAAAATTCTACCATTTTGAAATTTCACTTCAAAACACCATTTCTGCAACATCTTTATTTTTTTGATAATGTTACAAGTTAGTTTCCATTTATGTTGTTATGCATCTTCTTTACCAGCTAGGGTTATTTCCAAGACTTTTTTTTTTGCACCAAGAAAACCTTAAACAAAGCTTATATTCAAATATGTTTTATGAACGTTTTGTCAAACATATCAACTGTAAGGATTTTGCTTAATATCTATTACACTGGATACCAAGAAAATACTATAACAAAACAATTTTTGCAAATGTCAACAACTTCAAGGTATTCACCACTTTTGGTTACTTCTGAATCCCTAACAAAATACCGATACATTTCAAATAAAATAGTTCCTAAAAATGTAAGTATTGAATGCTATAGTTCTGGCAATCTCAGGTAGACTGATTTCCTTCAAGAGTGACAAGATAGAATCCACAGAATAACATGATGTTCAAACTATTCATGTAGATTTTTACTCTTGATGATGGTAGTGGAAGCTACTGAAACATGGAGTCATTTTTAATTTTTGAAAAATTTTATTGTTTAATGTAAGCATTGTTTTTGCCTATATTTTTGAATAAAGAAATACATATGAAGTGAATCCAAATACTCAACCATAACGAAGAAGAAAAAAAAACAGTGACCAAACACAATGTGAAACAAACAATTTTTAACAATTCAAAACACAATGTAAACAATGCATATTTTTTTGGACAAAGAACAACACCTTTACCAGAAAAAGCTTTATAAAGCTGAAGATATTACAGACTGAAAAACATAGCATTATATCCACAAAACAATACTATTCTTCCAGAGCATCATGTTACCCATGTGGTTGTTGGCTATTCCCATTGAAACATAAGAGAGTTTATAGCTTGTAGACATCACCTGATCTGTCAGTGGAAAAGGATGCTGTCTACTTTCATACAATATGCAAAACTTTGCATAAACTTTTCCTATGGAAAGACAATGGTGATACCTCAGGTGAATGATACAGAACAATAGGTAGCAAGAGCAAAAGGAACTTCGAATTATTGGCCAACATTGTGAAAACTGCATGCGCCTGAATAAATGAAAATTTTGAAAGATTTCTAATTCTATGTTAAAGCACCCAAGGGGGTTGCAAACACATGGTATGTTTGCATACCACTAGTCAGGAAAGGCAAAGCAATCTGTATTACATCATAGCATTGATGGAAGATCAATAAAATATGACAGTTGGATAGTATTATATTTAGGAAGGGTCAGACAAGTGCATTATTTGAACGTTATTACCACTGGTTAAGATGTTTAAGTAAAATGCAACATTTAGATGATACTGTCAGTCAAAGACCTTAAGTGTTCATTTGAATAATGCAACTAAGAGTTAAGTGTGTCATTTGAAAAGTATTAATATTCAAGAAGAACCAACCACAAATGTGACTGGAATTTTATTTATAGTTAACCCTCTCACTATAGGCACCCTTTTCTGTGCACATCTCAATGTTTTTCTGAATTACATTCAAAATTTAATTAAACTAATTTTTTGTCATGGTATACAAATAAACTTAGCATAAAAATGTAGCTAATAATCCAAATTAACATTATACGAGTTAAGTTCTTAATTTTATAAGGCAATAGAAAAAAAAAAAATTTCCCCTATTATGAGAATTGACATTTGCTCTCCAGGCATCCCTTCTTCTCTAGTTTATTTACCACCTCCTCCAAGAAGTATGAAATTTAATGCAAATTACTCATTTTAATATCATCATCACTCAGGCAAGGCATAATTTGTTAATACTCTATTATTTATAACTAATAGAAAGCCAAAGTTTTAATGTATCAAATTATGTATTATATTATGTTGTTTTCTGTACAGAGAATTGTTTATTTCACTTCCAGTTCAAACTTTATTCCCATGGGAAATGTATCAAAGAGCTTAGCTGAATTTTTAAAGGCTCTTGATGCACAGTTAGAAAGCCAGAAAAATGAAGTTATAAGACACTGTCTGCTTTTTGCATTTAATTATTCTGTGTTCTTGGTGCATTATTTAATTAAATAAATTTAGTGCAGTAGTAACATTAGTATAAAAAGTAGGGATACGTTTCATTAACAGAAGAAAAAAAAAGATCCAGGTAATTACTATATTTCTAGTTTTTCACGTGTATTCTTTAGTTATTATAAAAGTAAGTAAGATGTAAAAATGAGAAACTTTTTAGTTTAGATAAGGTTATATTAGGCAAAATAAATAATAATAAAATTTATGATATACACTCACAAGTAGCCTGTGTTTTATGTAATTCAATACAGTAACGTGAGCTCCATGTTCATCAAGTGATTTACATGGTTCAAAAGTCAACAATAAAATTTAAGTATAAATAGATGTATATTGTTATGAGTTTAAAGCTACTTAGGATAAACAAATGTAGTTTCGTATTACAACTGAAGTCATTCTAGAAAGGAAGAAAAGGTAATTTAAATATACTTAAAATTTTTTTGGGTGGTTATGAGTTTGATCAAATCGACCAAAGGATAGAGAAAATAACAAAATATAAAATTTTACTGAAGGAAAACTTGAAATTTATTTAGGATGTTCTTAGGATTATGCAAATGAAATTTGACAATTTTCAGATGACGAAAAGTATTTTTAATCTTAACATAAAAATCACTTTGCACTTGGAGCAGTCAACACTTTGATTCCATATATTCATGGAGAAATTTTAATGAAAACACTTCATTAAAAATTCTGATTTTATTTGTCTACAAATGACAATGCTTACTGAAAGCTTGCAAAATTTTGTGAAGATATAAAAACATATTAGAAGTTATAGTATGGAAACTAAAGGTGAACTTGGAGTCAATATTTAGATCGAATCAACCTAGCCCATAGCGAGAGAGTTAAAGAAAACCAATCCAGGTGTTCATAGATCACATTGTTAAAGAATAGTTAACATTACCAGAATTTCATATGAATGGTACCATTAGTCATTAGAAAAAACATTAACCATACTTACAACTTAAACATTATTATTTGCCAAGAAAGAAAAGCTAAGTGTCATTTGAAAGATACCATGGTCAAGAAAAATTAACCAAGCAGTTCTATAAAATATGCCATCCTACACACTAATTTTTGATTTTACCTGATGATTCCCAGTGTCCCATATTTGGACTGATCCATCTCCACTTCCAGTGACAACAATGTTACTATTTAATTCACTCCAAGTGACATCATACAGTCCATCTGTCCAATCAGATATAGAAACCGATTGCAGCAAGCCACTAGGAGTTTCTTCAAGAATATAAAGCGAACCTTTTCCTGCAGAAAAACCAATTTAGAAGTCACCTTTGATTACTATATTTAATGAAATAATCATGTAAAACAAAATTAGTTATCACACACAAACCAATGCACTAAGTGTTCTGAAAAAGCAAATCGAACAATGGTAATTTTCCTAACTGAACAGCCAGATGAGTATTCCTTTCAACACCACATGACTGATAATTGGTTTAGCAAGTAAGAATTAAGCTCACTGTTCACAATATCATTGGCAGCTCAATTTTGTACAGAATAGTGTATATCACATTTTGCATTTAGATTTCATATATATTTATGTATTTCATGGGTTTAATATTGTCATTAGGAGTTTACATACACAAACTGATACTGGCTTGTATTAGTGCTGCCATAAACTAACATGCATATTTTTATATTACTCTCACACACATATTTTACTCATGTGAACAGTGTGTGTGTGTGTATATATATTTCACTGGGCTCCTATTCTTTACCTGAGAATCACAGTTATGTTGAACATAATGTCATGGTGAATTTGAAACCAATCTGAATGTAAGTTCTATTTAAAAGTGCAGATAGCCTAGTTGCGTTGTGACAAAAAATGCCAACCAACCAGTTTTATAGTACATGAATAGAATGATGCAACGTTAGTAAAGCTAAGTTGTTTCATTCTGCCGTGTTCGAGATATCACCTAATGAATGAGCTAAAGTAGAACTTTGTTCTCACTACCCCTTGCTCAAGCATTGTGATGGATATTGTACATCCTTACCTACGAGTTGATGTTAAGATATTCTGAATGGTGTCACTGCTATTGCCTATAATTAATTCAAGGAAAATGGAAGAAAACACTAAATAATTATCCACTAGCTATCAGTAAGAAAGCACTTAAAATCATACAAGCTATTTGATCAACATATTCTCCTCTCAAAGTAAGCTGTCAAATTGGAGGTTTCATTTTATTGAGCCCCATTTTTTTCTTCTTTTTATGGTATAATTAGCCGATTTACCCATTCCCTACACAGGTGTCTAAATTACTTTAAATAGAAATTTCAAAACAAAAAAGTTTTTTAAGAACATTTATTTAAAAAAATCAATGTTTATGAAATTATTTTTATCTAAACCTGTGATTTTCAAAACATAATTTACACAATCTAAATTAAATCTTCATATACCACAGATAATCAGTGATGAGCTGCCTTCTCTCTTTCCCCTTCAGTTTTTCTGAAACTTCTTGGTACAGCTGCCTCCCTCATTCCATCAAGTCTTTCATTTTCTAATTCATCACATTCTTGTGCACACATTTTAGATCTTCTAACTCTTTCAGCTTCAAGCCTTACTTCTCTTTCTTTGTGATTTATTTCTCCTTCTATCTGCTTTTCTAACTATCAGCTTTTAGCCTTGCTGCTCTTTCCTCCTTCATTCTACTTTCCTTACAGCCTCTTGAACTATTTTTTTGAAAGATTTTGATATGGATTTTCTTAGCATTTTAAAGGTTAAACATACATATTACTTTTCAACTAAAGGGTTAATAATCAAATGAGAGCTTAAAGTCATTTACATTGAATTTCATACCAAGGGAAGTGATCAATTCTTTATATAACCTTCCTGCACAGTTTCCTGCTTGAAAAGTGATCAGTATAATTAAGTACGGAGCATCAGTTCCTCAGCTACCCTTGTTTAAAAGAAATATTGAGTTATTTTTAAATGTACAGTGTTCATTACAGTTATGCTTTTAAAAATAGCACAACAGTAGTGAAAGTTTAGTGGCCAAAGTCTCTTTGATTCAAAAAACAATTATTTTTGATAATTCAATAATTTTAAAAACTTTCCAATTGTTAACAGGATATCACTAAAATTTAAAACATGCTAAACACTCGCCAACACTTCCACGCACTTTGCCAAATGCTTAAGTACTCCAAGACTGTAGCAAAATCCAATCCTTGACAGTTATTCTGATTTTTAAATCTTACAGGCTACAAAGAGGCCTGTGAGACAAATCGTGGCACTCAGAAATCGATGTTTATCTTTGCCCCCCACACAAGTTTTTTAGGTTTAGCTTCTCAGAGGGTACAATAGGTTTCTGGCTGGTGGTTGAAGCGTTAAGTAGCTTGGTTGGACTTTATACATGGGAGGCAAGTTTTCAGTTCATAATTAGTTAGTAAACATGCTTGGCTGGTATATACAGTAGCATGACTAATAGATATCCTCAGGGTGTTCAGAAAAGTCATGGATGCAGCAGGCTGGAGACAGGAAGTTGATGGAAAGATAATGAAAGCTTGAAGTAATGGTATGCAGGTGATGATGGAAAGATAGATGGAGTAGAAGTGAATCAGGACCAAGGCTGTGATGAAAGTAACCAGTTCCTGGATAACAACTGATCTGAAAAAGATACTGACTTATGGAAGAGATTTAATGCCTTACTGGATTTGAATTTGGGCCAAATTTTTTATCTAATTTATAGTTTTGATTGAGTTAATGAAAATTCCATCTACCATTCGTTTTAAACCCAGACCATTGACACATATAGATGAAGTTCGAGCAGTTTGTCTTATCCATTCTGTATTTAAACACAAAATAGTTCCTTATTCTAATGATAAATTTACCTTAAATCTTAAAATTTAAGAATTGCTAGAGGTTATACTTGCTGATAAACACTGCAAAATAAAATATTGAGTTTTTTGCTTCAAGGCCCCTTTTACAGTGAATTGTAGTGTTATACGAAGAGTTATACACCTCCACTTTAGGGGTGGAAGCTCTATGGATGCGTTTCTTGATTAAGATTATATTTTAAACATAAACCTGAAAACAACACAGTAAAGTGAGTCATACATTCAACCTCACATTGAAAAAAAAGAGACATTAGCAAAATTAACCTAGAAAAGTGGTTCTGTCACAAAGTTTCATGAGCTTTGAAGATTTCTTTTGCAGTTGAATTTCTCACCATTTAAAGAAAAAGGATGGTTCCATGTTGCAAGTTGTTTGGCAAAATCAAGTGTGCACTTCTCTTGCGGGAAACCAGGTGGGAATTTTGACCCCTTCATGTTTCTTCTGGTGGACCATAGGAGTCAACAAGCCAAGATTAGTGGAGATTGGTAAAATAGCATGTGAGGAGTTAGTAGACAGACAAACATACAACTTCGCTTATATATATATATATATATGACCTTCATGTCATCCTGTATCAAGTTGTGCTGACTTGTTACTTTTCTGGAATTAGATAGGGGGTTCAACCCCCACTGGTAATTTTGACCCTTCTATGTTACTTCTGGGGGACTTTAGGAGTCACCATGCCAAGTTTGGTGGAGATTGGTCAAATAGTGTGTGAGGAGTTAGTAGAAAAACAGAGAGAGAGAAACCCCCACATATCCACAAGTATCATATGGAGTGATAAGTAACACGCAACGTCACTAACTGAGCCAGGTTAAGGTACATTGTAGTAAGGAACTTCAACTACTCAAGCTACCTGGTCACCACACTATTAGCCTACCATATATTTTTAGTAAATATAAAGCACAATTGTATGATTGTATTCATATGTACAACGTCCCAAATCCTAAGTGCTCACATCTTGTTTCTGAATAAAATTTATCTAAGCAACTTACTTCTTACAGCTTACCCGCAATTCCATAATTCTGACAAGTAGCACAAGCCAGACGATTTGGGAAAAAGGGAGAGAACTTTATACCATATCCATGTCGACCTGTTGTGCGAAATGTTGTTGACATATTTGATATTTAAGACAGAATCCAGCAGGCCTGGAAGATTCTCTACATATGCACTGAAATAAAAATTAAAAAAATCTTATTCCATTATTTACAGGATGTAATACCACCAATTTGAGGCTGTAAGCAATGGTACAGTAAGCAGCTAATATAATGGATCTATAAAATTAACTAAATTAAAGAGTAATAACTACATATATCGAATGACAGGAAAATTGCTTTACTTCTAGTGATCAAACTACAATAGGAACATTAGGTATACAAACTGTTAGCATTAATGTTTAGAAAATTCGAGGTACAAAAAATTTCCAGGTGAAAGTTGGTTGTAGAAAAGTGGATTTAAAAGTTTATTCTTGGACACAACCAACTGGAAAAAAGCACTGTGAAAAGGAGAAGCTAAGCTGGAAATGTTAACTTATCAATCAATCATTCATAACTGAAGTTTAAACATTCAAAAGTTAAAGGGGTGGTGTGATAAAAACCACAATGAAGATTGAATAGTAATTTATAAACACTTCAAGTAATTAGAATGCTTTCTTTCTGTTTCTCATTAAGTTTTTATTGATGCTGATAGAAGATGTGTTATATTACTTCCTTTTAATGACACTAAGCACTTACAACATTGGTGGCTTATGTTGCACAATGACATTCAATGGAAGAAAAGAATCACTAAAACAATGGAAATTCTAACTGCAGGGTTCAAAATGGTCATTTGTCCACCTGTGCCAAGGAGGTAAAAAAAATGTACACTGACAAGTACTCTCCATACCTGGCTTGTCCTTTAGACATATGAATTTTCAAGTTTTATTAAGACAACCAATGGAATTGATTGAAAATTGTGAATAAATTATTAATCATACCATGAAGTTTGACCCTGATTTATGGCTTCTGTTTATTGGATGCTAAAATCTTGAACCACAACATCTAATCATATGGTATGATCATCTCAACATTTACTATTGGCTCAAATGCTGGGTTATCTGTGAATGCACACAGTGAACATGTACAATTCTACAGATCATGTTGCCTATTCATGATGGCAAAGTAGACTAGTTTGAAGGAGGTAAAGTTAACATAGCAAAGAAAGATCAGGTGATAATGAAAAGTCAACTATAGTGCCAACTGAAATACCAGAATCTGCTACAAATGACACCACACAATAATTGGTACATGTGAATTTGATGAGCAAAATAATATAGTACTACTGATAAACTTGATAACAGTATGTACATTTTGAAAAGGGATGATAAAAAGTGTAGCGACGATTTTGGCAGTACATTCAAGCAGATACAACTTAAAAGATTACAAACATGACAAGAGCAGAGGTAATAATAACATAGAAATATAATGTAAATAACTAAAATAAACATAATAATGTATAAAGTAGTTCTGTTCATGATATGGGTATGCAAACCTCAGTAACAAACTTGTGATATTCAGTAATGGGTGGTATGGAGGGACAATGGACAGAAGAGTTTCAGTTTAGGGCAAACAAGATAAAATGTGTCCAATGGATAACAATTTAAACATCTATTTCAAGCACTTAAGGTACAATGTAGATACCTTATGTAGCATTACATTTTAGATGCAAGTTGAAGACATTGATGACCTCAGTTATGATTGTTAGTCATTAAGTCACACCCTTTGTTCCTTGAGAGTATAATTTCATCTATAGGCATGATGAGATGTGTTACAACTAATTGCCATTTCTTAAATTTTGACAACTTCTTAAGCTTTTCAGTCAACTTGAATAAATTTTAAACAACTTGCACCTAAAATATTACACAATCTTTTTTTACAACAAATAATTTTAATAATGAAAAAAAATCACAACTTTCAACATAAAAGTGGATTATGCACGTAGGTTATCATAATTCAAACTATTAATATGTCAATCATTCACTTGATAGAAAAATGGGGAAACTGGAACAAAGAATTCAAATGAGGTGAAAACAGTACTGGTAAAATTAATGGAGAAAACAGATACAGTGAAAGTGTTTTTTGACAAACTAGTTATTTATACATGTACATGTATAAAGCCCTAAATAACTCTTATCAGTGATACTTTTTCTTTTAGATTTTGTTAAAATAAGACTTCATAAAAGATTCACTTTTTGTATCATGCTTCAGCACATTTAATAACTTAACTTTGGTACATTCATACTGAGTGTCTGTAAAAAATTTCAAAATTTTCTGACACGGTTCTTGCTGTTGGGTTAATTTCAGATGCAGTAAATTTAAGCTTTAGGAAATTTCCATAAATATTTAATTAATTAGAGCCGAGTATGAGGTCAAGTAATTGGGAGAGCCTTGAAACTAGAGGATCCTTGTTGTCACTTAAATCTAATGTTACATCTTACCGATTCTACAACTTCCTAATGTTTGAAGCCAATATCAAGTGTTAATTACTTTTAAATGTACACAAGTCTAAATGAAAAAAAGTGTTTTTATAACACACACATTGATATCATATACAGACCTGTCAAATCTTATTCAGAAATGCAAATAGATGAGCTGCAATACCCCTCCTGAAACATCTGTACTATTGTGTGCTTTGTGTACAAACTACTATTGACAGAATCTTACTCATTCAGGTACTTCAAATTTGAGTGAGGGGGTCTGCATCGTGCAGGATTAAATATTCTTCCAACAAATCATTGCAGGTTTTGCTATTCTTGCTTTTCTATAATTCAATTTTCTTCTAGATTTCTGAAAGTTTCAAAAATTATTCCTGTACCTTTTTGAACACATTTGGAAGAATGTTAACCCAATAGAGTGGAGCCTAGTCTTTTTCAAAACTTACTTTTGTCCTCTCATACTTTTGTTTTCAGAACATAGCATAAAAATAACAAAGGCCTATATCCTATTGATCCTCCAATAATCTACAATCACCTCTTTCCCTTTCTTTTCTAGAAACTTACTACTGATTAACCAGCGGTCAATCCCCTTAAAATAATTCTTCCATTTCCAAAATCATCCTAGTATCACTCCTTTGAATCTATATAAGGAGTCAACATCCTTTCTTACAAAAAGGGACCATAACTGTACATGGTGTTCCACGTGAGGTCTAACTAGTGATTTGAATAGAAAAGATGATTATCTTTCGCAACTTGTAATAAATGCCCATTGTGATGGACTTACTATCATACATCTATTTTGATATCAATGTTTAAGTTAAATTTATATTGCAAAATTCCTGCCTCTTCTCTAAAATCGTAGAAAATTCTCGAGTGTAAAAATCTACAATATATGTGTGTACTTAAACACAAGTGTATTCTTAGTATTGTTGATCAGGCTGAAATTTAGAAACTCTTTTCACACCTATAAACATAACCAACGTGACATACCAAAAGATAGTATATATTATTGGTTTGCTATACTTGGTGTACTATAAACCTCGGAACCTACAACTGTGATTGTTATAACACTTATTAATCAGGAACTTCAGATATTTGATCTGGAGCATTTATAGATTTCGAATATTACAAACCATTTAACTTCAGCAGATTAACATCGGACATAAGTATTTTTATGAAAACATTATATAACTTAAT